CAACCGTTGACTTGGTTCGTCCATCAATACCCAAAGCCATATTTATGTGAGAACTTCTTAACCTGGAGTGCCTAATACTTTCGTCCACATTCAGCTATATCATACTGGTAGTCACCAGCTTTTTTGAAAATAGTATTGTCCTGTTGATATAACTTCTTCACCCGATACTTAATTATCTTGACATTCTGAACGACCCAACCCGCCTCTACCTACTATTTAAGCTGTACTTCCACCTAAATGCAAAGTATCTTTACAGAAATTGTCAAGAACACGTGATACAGCCGATGCCTGAAGAAAGCACCAAACACCAGTCAGTTCCGTACATTGAAAACCGGCAAAACCTTGACATCAAGTATGTAATATAACATTTCGTACGACAGATTGATAGAATTATGCATATTAGACCGAACAATTCTGATACCATTCAAAGCCTGATCAGGAAGATCTCTCCGGATAACATGCCACGAATGTGTATTGAAAAATCGATACCCAAAAACTTATATGGAGGTACCATGAGTGCTGGGGATTGTAAGATGACCTGTGCCAAGTTAATCATAAATTATTTTATCTTTTGAACTTTAAGAGTGAGTGAGTGAGTGAGTTGGGTTTAACGCCGTGAACTTTTAGAGTTTTGTAGTTATAGGTATTAATTATTTTACTATAGTTTGCAGTGGGAAATTAAGTTATTTCCATGTTTCCAAAGGTCAACTTTCCCTATATGTCGAGCAATAGTCCTGCAGCTCCAGCACTTGGTGTCTACATATCTCAATTTTTGAGGTACAATCGAGGATGCCATTTATACCATCATTTCAAAGAGCGCTATTCGACTCTCACTCAGAAGTTGTTTGATCAAAGTTACAACATTCAAGGCCTCGGTAAAGTTTTCAAGTATTTTTTTAAAGTAGACATGTGGACGACATTTCTAAATTTGATGCAAAAGTGTAAATAGATTGATGGTGAGCGTCAAAGGTATGACACACAATGCCAAAGCCAGACAATAACCAGTCTCGATTCCATTGGGCGCACAAGACAAAATAACGGAGGAAATGATATTTAAGGGTCTCCAAAAATCAGTGATGACACTAGGCGTTCGGGAAAAGGGTACACACAATTTGTATAGGAAACTGTTGTTGTGGTAGGCTCAGAAATGACTGCGAAATGCAATTGAGCTTATGAGAAAACTCGGAGACTTTCAGACAACTACGGTGACCACTCAGTCCACCTGCAGAAACATTGACATTGTGGGAATTCCAACACAAACTATACTGTTAAATGTAAATATCAAATTCGTGGTTGATCATATTTTCAATATTATGTATCATAATTTATGATTAAGATGATCTGTGCATGTTGCACTAATGCTCAATAAGCCATACTTTCGTAAGTAACGGTAATTCTCAACTTACAAAGCTCGGTGAAACAACCCATCAAATATACATTATTTTCTGTCAGTGTAAAGCGTCGGGGGTGGTCGGGTAACCTAGTGGTTAAAGCGTTCGCTCGTCACGCCGAAGACCCTGGCTCGATTCCCGACATGGGTACAATGTGTGAAGCCCATTTCTGGTGTGCCCCGTGATATTGCTGGAATATTGCGAAAAAAAGGCGTAAAACCATACTACCCACTCACTCACGTGAAGCGTCGGACTCAATCGGAGTATGTCGTTTCTTCCGACTTGAAATCCAATGATACTTGACACACACCCATGTCGAATCGGGGTATGCAATTTTCCGTCTTCGTCCTTGACAAAAGTTGCGACGCGCAGTCTAAGGGTTAAAGCAATGTTAAGCTTAAAATGCAGTATGCGTAACAAGTATGCTGTTGTAATAATATTACAGATAACGCTTCTCAGTTGCTCTGGGAGCTACGGAAACTGCCGAGTAGGTTATGTACGGAAAGTGCCGAGTAGGTTTTGTACGGGAAGTACCGAGCGGCTTTATGCCACTGACGAACTCGGGTTATTATCAGCCTACTATTAGCCAGGTCTTAGTTGCAGCAGTGTAGCGGGTTGCCGTTTTATTTAGCGACCTAAAGACCAGAATGTCTCATTGAAGGCCAATCTGGAACAAACGGAACAGATGCTAACACACCCGCATCTGGGCAAGACCAGCTCATGAGACAAGTTCTCGCATCAGGACGCATTACAAACATTCAGTTGACACTTTGTTGAAAAAAACAACAGATTTGTGATAACAGGCGAACTATCATTCATTAAGTGAATGTTTAACAGCCATCACATAATTAGTTGCTATTGTTCCATATATTTTCTATTGAACTGACGTTGTATTTTCATCTGAAAAATGAATAGATTCCTACAATTTTCGTTTTTCTTACCCATAGTGGCACATAGTCCAGTGCATATAGCACGGTAACCGCAATCAAGTTAACGGATGAGCAGCAAGAAGCTCGATTATCTCCGGATGAGTTCGGATTACATAATAATAAATCAGTGAATTGTGAGTGACTCGCGTAATCTAAAAGCGTGGTAGATATATTTAGCAAGTTGTGTAATAGTGTATTTACATTTAGAAGACATAAGATTTACAATTTTTTCATAGGATGGATTAGTGTGAAAATATGTATCAATAAAATGTAAACGTAATGTTGAATATGAAGTACAAATAAGAAGGAAATGATATTCATTTTCAATGTAGTTGAAGTCGAGTTTAACGCATAAGTGTTACAGAATAGAATATACCCTTCGTATACACGTTGGTGTGTCTATCAGAATATCCGGAAAGCAGGGTGTCCGGCCTAAGGAGGTTTAACTGTATTGCTCTCCTTCCAACTACTTGGAGCAGAAATAAGAACATTGTTGTTGTTTTTCATTTAAATAAAGTGCTGAAGCAAGTATGTGTTTTTGTTAAGTGTAATCTAGTTTTACAGAACTTCACATTAAAATGACACCAACCCATTAATTTCGATGATCGACCGGTTGCGATGATCAAATCATCAATCATGATTTTGCAAGCAGTCCCCAACACTAATGTCCTGACTAACTTTAGTCGATTCAGTGTCGTTTGACTCGAATACTTCAACGCTTACCAGAATAGATCTTCAGCAACCCCTGCTTGCCGTAAAAGGCGACTATGCTTGTCGTAAGAGGCGACTAACGGGATCGGGTGGTCAGGCTCGCTGACTTGGTTGATACATGTCATCGATCCTAATAGCGTGGATCGATGCTCATGATGCCAATCACTGGTTTGTCTGTTCCAGACTCGATTATTTACAGACCGCCGTCATATAGCTGGAATATTGATGAGTGCGGCGTTAAACAAAAAAATCACTCACTCACTTCACTGCTGGGCTCGTGAACATCCGGTTGGAACAGGTCATTATCTGGCTTGCCCTCATTTCGCCTACACCTCATTTCGCCTACACGTCATTTCGCCTACACCTCATTTCGCCTACCCCTCATTTCGCTTACAATAATTCAAATGCTTAATTGCCTCACCCCTATTATATGAATGGGCATTGTCCATCTCAGGCTGTTAACTAATCCAAGCTTTAATCTAATCCAAGCGGCATAGAGGTTCAAAGTGAAGTTTTTACAACCTATGACAACTTCTCCCAACTGTTGTTTGACTTGGTCATTCGAGAGACTAGTGGTGTTTGCTACCACTGAGATGTTGTTAGAAATCATGAGTGACTCTGACAGTTTGTTTATGGATGGTACTTTTTTTGTTTGTCCTAGCTTCTGGCTCCAAGTGTATATTATTCATTGTCTTGTAAATGGTAAAATGTATCCAGTTGCTTTTTCGTTGCTTCCTAACAAGACCAAACAGACATATGTTAGACGATTTAGGTTGTTGAAGGACACAGTAGGAACCAGAACTGGTACTGAACTTTCTCCAGAGGTGTTTCAGACTGATAACGAGTCAGCAGTCATAAGTGCCATTGCAGAGGTTTTTCCTGATAATTGAGAGAGGTCTTGTACGAGAATACACGAACAATCCAGCAATTCAGTCCCATGTCCGACGTGCCGCAGCCCTGCCACTTCTCCCACTTGACTAGGTACAGAATGCATGGGTTGAGGTGATGGAGCAAGGACCTGATGATCAACAGATTGGTGGTTTTAACGACTATGTCACCAGCACATGGGTAGATGACGACGCTAGATTCCCCTGCCATATTTGGAACCAGCACGACAACACCGGTCCCCGATCCAACAACGATCTGGAGGGTTCCACTGTGGACTGAAAAAGAGAATGCCCCGATCTCACCCTAACATTTATCAGTTCTTGAAGGAGATCGAGAAGATTGAAAAGGCAGACAGACGCTCCAGGAAACAAATTGATCTTGGAGGATCATGCAGACCCCGAGCTCGTGTTGACAGACAAAGGGACGAAAGAATTGAAAGACTAAAGACACAGCTTCTTAGTGGAAGAAAAACTGTAATGCAATTTCTTGATGCCGTTGGATATGTACTAAAGCTACAGTAATCATGAGTCATTATTATTATTACTGCATAATGTAAATATCAGCTATTAAACAATGTATGAAGCTTCAAGATTGTCTTGTCTGTTAAACCTTTTTTGGGGTCAGTTCATTATTTTAGAGGTAACACAGCACTTGACTTATGTGCAGTCAGCTGTAAATTTGTTTTGATAAGGGTGTAGGCGAAATGAGGTGTAGGCGAAATGAGGACAGGCCCTTTATCTACCCATGCCTGTCGTAAGAGGCGACTAACGGCGTCCGGTGGTCAGGCTCGCTGGCTTGGTTGATGAATGGTCTCCCATTCGGTAGATCGATGCTCAAGATGTCCGGTCCAGACTCAATTATATACACACCGCCGCCATTGAAGCTCGAATATGTCTGCGTTGGGCGTTAAACAACAAACAAATTATAATTGCTGGCGTGATGTATTTACAATATTTCCTTAATACAGCTCAATACCGCACATAGCAACACGGTTAGCGTGTGTGTTAAGGTTTGAGAGATAATTTACTTGCCGCGCGGCCGGTGATATCAACAGAACTGACTTGCATGAGGAAGTGGATATGCAGTATTGTATCTAACTATAGGAAACTATAGGGTAGGTTACAGACAAGTTACGTGCGTCCTTGCAGTCTTCCTTGTTTTGATGAGTGACAAAGTTCATACTTCTGCGCCGTCAACATCCAGACATCGCATGATCATCGACTACATATGACGCTGCGACTCCAGGGGAAGGAAGCGAGGTGAGTGGTTGTGATCTATCACTTTATTTGACATCTTTTGTATAAGTAAATACGCGTATTTGAAGGCAAGTGTTTTAGAAAGCGAACAGGTTGTATTTGGCGTTAGATCACGACGCATACTATTTGCTAAAGCGTCGCAGATTAGGATCGGGGATCTATTACGAAAACACTATGAAACAGTCCGTAGCGCTGAGAGGGGAGCGAGACAGAGATACGATGTATGTGTTTTTCTCTGGTTTGTTTGTTTGTTGTTTAAAGCAGCACTCAGCAATATTTCAGCTATATCACGGCGGTCTGTAAATAACCAAGTCTGGACCAGACAGATACGATATAATCCGAATATAATCTAATGTATACACTTCAGTACACGTTACTATTCAACTAGCAATAAGCTTTGTTTATTTGTTTGTTTAACGATACACTCAGCAATATTTCAGCTATATGACGGCGGTCTGTAAATAATCGAGTCTGGACCAGACAATCCAATGATTTACATCATGAGCATCGATCCACGCAATTGGGATACGATGACATGCATCAACCAAGTCAGCGAGCCTGACCACCCGATCCTGTTAGCATAGTCGCCTTTTACGGCAAGCATAGTCGCCTTTTCGACAAGCATAGTCGCCTTTTACGGCAAGCAGGGGTTGCTGAAGACCTATTCTACTCCGGATCTTAACGGGTCTTGCAATAAGCATGAATACACATAATCAGTATGGTTATACTTACACGAACAATGTCGGATCCCCCAGTAAAATTGACTGAGAGGGGATTTTGATAGTCCCCCCCCCCCTTTCAAAATGCTGGATCCGCCCTTGATGTATGTGTGTGCTTGCGTGCGTGTGTGCGTGCGTGCGTGTGTGTGTGCGTGCGTGCGTGCGTGCGTGCGTGCGTGCGTGCGTGTGTGTGTGTGCTTGCGTGCGTGCGTGCGTGCGTGCGTGCGTGTGTGTGTGTGTGTGTGTCTCGGGGTCGGGTTCATCTTTATATATTTACTAAAGTATAGCTAGAGGTGGAAGTATTTTCATTTTCACAACACCAATCGCAAAATTCGCATTGACCATTGTATTTGTGACTATCGTCGCTTTATTGCCATTCGGCAAAGGATAAATGCATCGATACTGTGGCTCATTGTTACACAAATAGTTCATAGGGCTCAACGGGGAAAGTTTGCAAAACTAATAAAAACAGATTTATTACCCACATGGTGAGGATACAGGTGGTGAGTCACAAATTAAATCTAAGTCACACGTGTGGTGTTCAAGGTTGTCCTCGTTCTTTTCGTTTTGAAAGGATAACCGTGACCTCTGTCAAACCGAAAATACATTTTTCGTGCATAAACAATCATATTACAAACACTTTATGAAACCAAACAAGATAGTCACGCACATCAAATTCACTTTGCATTCTATATTAGTTACGCTTAGAGCTCATGCAGATATTGTATAATTTCCTGGTTGTAGATGTATCGTGGTCCCAGGGTGCGTAAAGCTCGACTTTCACATTCGTCACCACTCGCCCCTTTCCGTAACCTTCAAGAAGACTCGCCCCCCTATCGATGAATGTTTTGTGCGTAAATACGACAAACCAATCAGAATGCGCGTATGATTTCAAATTCTACATCAAAGAATCCCTCAGAAATAATTTTTAAATTTTGCATATGTCTTGCATCTAAAGATATACCCATGACAAAGTTAAATGTGTTCAATCATCCTGTATAATTCCGCATGTCCAGATGTGCTATAAATTGCATCTGAAATATATATAATATATGAGGAAATATATGTGAAGCATTACGCAACGAGTTGACAACTGTTTTAGGTATGCCCGTTTGCGCTTAGACGGAACCCGGTCGCAGAAAATGGCCACGAGAGGGGCACGAGTCGCTATTCGGCTTGTCCCGGAATAACACGAGTTGGTCACGAATGCGACTTTCATTTTCATTTAATGTACAAAATGAGGTCAGTTTAAACTGTTGGGCCCATATTTAGATTTACGTTGAATGCTCCGGATGTGCCATCAGTGTCTCCTTCGAGGCGTATTCTGTGACTTTGTTTCTGAAAGTGTTCATGAATGAACGTACAAGACTTCCCGAGCCATATCACTCAAAGTGGACAGTCCCGGCGCTGCGACTGAAGGTTTTCTTACAGTTGTCGGGTACTTACACCTATGGGCTAAAATTACCATTAGTTATAGAAACGTTAAAGATCTTGACGTTACTTCTGTCATATTTGCACACACAATAGCAAGAACATTAGGTTAATGCGTAAGCATAGAAAATGTCAACAATGCCCATGTTTTGGCATATATCAATATTCATGCGCATACCGATTTGCAACCGGTTTGGGTTTGGTCTGTTCAACGTGATTTATTTACACTTAAATACATATTTAACGTGGGCAATAAATAAATAAATACCCCACTTATTCTCTGACCAAGCATAGGAAGTCCATGACTTTCGTAAAAATGGTATCTAACGAGAATGAGTGTAGCACTCTATACATCTCTCTTGTCGGTATGCAACCGACACGGAAAACCAGTGGTTTTGAAAGCTTCAATGTCTGAACTTCCACGTGGGGGAATCTTTGGAGTTGATTACCCCAAAACTTGATCTGACCTGCAACAGACCCCTGGGATAAACAACACCATTCGGCACCACTCGCCCCTTTCCGTAACCTGCAAGAAGTCTCGACCCCCTAAATTCGTCACCACTCGCCCCTTTCCGTAACCTGCAAGAAAACTCGTCCCCCTATCGATGAATGTTATGTGCGAAAATACGACCAAACCAATCAGAATGCGCGTATGATTTTAAGTTCTTCGTCAAAGAATCCCTCAGAAATAATTTTTGATTTTACATATGTCTTGCATCTAAAAATATAACAAAGACACATTTAAATGTGTTCAATCATCCTGTATAATTCCGCATGTCCCGATGTGCTTTGAATTGCATCTGAAATATCGGGAAATACATGTTAACAAGTACGCAACGAGTTGATAATTGTTTTAGGTATGCCCGTTTGCGCTAAAACGGAACCCGGTCGCAAACATGGCCATGAGATTGGCACGAGTCGCTATTCGGCTTGTCCCGGAATAACACGAGTTGGTCACGAATGACCGAGTGGTGACGAATGTGAAAGTGGCCGAAGTGGTTGGGTGCACGTGCTTTACGCTCCCTATGACCACGATCCATCTGCACACAGGAAATTATACAATATCTGCATGAGCTCTAAGCATAACTAATATAGAATGCAAAGTAAATTACCCCTAGAACCCCTAGCTACCTATAGAACACTGAAGTGACCATCATTTATCAGAAAACATCGCCTGGCCTTTGGTGCTTATATTTGGTACTACAAATATCGGGGGCACGGGTGGCCCAGTCGTCTAAGGCGCCGCGGTTCGCTGTGCAGAGTTGCGTCCCTTGGGCACGCCAGAAACCTATGATTGTGGGTTCGAATCCCGATTCGCCCCGATTATGTTTCTAGGTTTGTCAGCACCATACCCGTGCTCGTGGGTTTCACGGAAGTGGTAAACGTCTGAGACCTGCATCACTTCGGGCTTTCCTCCAACATTAAGCTGACACGCTGTGATATGACTGGAATACTGTTAAAAGCGGCGTTAAACCTAACTCTCACTCACTCACTACAAATATCACAGGATACCCCAAGTCAGACTTCAGTTCAAATTAGAGATATGTTGACAACCTGAACACAATAGTAATAATAACGCATTATCGACAACGCGCAGCGTCATAGAAGTATTTCTTTCTTCTAAGCACGAAACTGTTTCCGCATGGCCACAGAATATTTACGACAGTGTTATGTCAAATTGTTTCTAGCGAAGGAAGCTAACATTTAGTTCACTAATCGATTGTTCAAACTTTCTTTCTTAAACTACGTTACTTTGCAATATATGAAGTACTTTGTAAGCTGATTTAAACTAGGTATTGAAACAATGAGGCTGCCTTTTAAACCAAACGGAATCTTAAAACATGTGTAAGCTAAAAAGAGAATTTGCATTGAAAGCGACTTTGCTATTAAACTGTAGACTTATAAAGCATTCAGGGGAAATGGACAGACACACTTAGCAAACTACATGAGACCCTCTTTGTGACACGGTTGACTGTACTGTTTTTTTATATAAAAACTGTTTCAGGATATAAATTTTAACTACTTAAAATTCAAAAAGGGAACTAAAATTAGAAAACTCCGTAACAAGTTGACACTTATCCAGACGCTTTGAAAATTAAATTAAGAAGCAGCCGTTGACAATAAAACGCGGAACTTTCAATATAAACTGATTCACAGAATAATTTCTACAAATTCAATTCTACACAAAATAAGCAAACGTGATGACAGTTCATGTACTTTCTGCGAAAATGAACCTGACTTGTCAGATCACATTTTTGTCACTTGCAACAAAGTACAGGAATTAGAACTGAAATTTGTGAAATGGTACAAATCCTACACAAAAATACTTATATATTTAGACTGCAGATCGTTCACACTTTGTAGCCCTAAACATAGTGTGCTATTAAATAACCTATATGCAATCACATAACAATACCTATACAGATGTAAATGTAGAGAAACTGCTAAACTTCATGAGACATATGTGAAGTGTAAACGTATATATACTCCACGTCAAAAGAAACGCGTAGGCCATACATTTATGTTAATATACGAAGATTCATATTCAAGAGATATTAGATTGGTTCGACGCACAAACGAAGATACTATTATGTTGCGTGGACCGACGCTCATGAACGAATCACATGTGACGTCATAGATCCATGACTCGAGATTTACCATTTGTCTCGTGCAGGATTAGCGTGTAAAGTTTGGAAATCACGTGCGTCATATCGTGATACAAATAAGGACACTGTGGTAACACTTGACTGCTTGTAAGTCTCGTCAGTGAGTGGTACACTTCTTCAGGGGCGGTCGGGTAGCCTCGTGGTTAAAGCGTTCGCTCGTCACGCCGAAGACCTGGGTTCGATTCCCGACATGGGTACAATGTGTGAAGCCCAATTCTGGTGTCCCCCGCCGTGATATTGCTGGAATATTTCTAAAAGAGGAGTAAAACCATACTCACTCACTCACTCAGGTACATAGTTCTCAATGTTTCTATGGTTCGCGTTTCTTTTGGTTGTGAGTATGTATGGTGAAGACCAGTTCTGTCTGTCCAAATAGGATACATTGTTTGGCTGTGAACCGAATGATGTGTAATCAGATAACGAGTTTGACAGATGGAATCCAGTTTCCAGTGTACATCCCTGTGTCACGTGACAAACTTGAGGAACTTCATTCCTTAATCTATGGAGCTTTTCTTACTTAGTGTGGTGACCATAGATATAGTTACATCTCTTTTATCCAACTTGTGACCAATGTGTGACTGATAAAAAACAAATGTAATCTGAAGTTTAATGAGAAAACAGTATGTGAAATGCTGGACTTCCTGGTAGATAACCGTTGTTTCGAATCCCAGATCTAGAATCACCTTGATTATGACTCTTGATGTGACAACAACTTGTTGGGGTCAGCATCAAACTAAAACCTAACTTACACGCTAGGAATCACACACTCACTCACTTACAATATAAGCTGGACTGTATTTCAACGAGCAGATAAAGTGATTGTCAGATAAAACCTCATTTTATCACTTTCTTCTTCCTAATATCAAACTTACAAGTACTATTGCACACACTGATACTACTTTTGTTGGATCTGGTCTTTCGTTACCTGTTCCAGAAAGTTCTGGCTTTTTCAAAACTAACAAAGTATTCCATATATTCTGCAATTGCTACGGGATATATAGGTAGAGTGAGTGAGTGAGAGAGTTGGGTTTAACGCCGCTTTAAACAGTATTCCAGTTATATCACGGCGGAAGGAAAGCCCGAAGTGATACAGGTCTCAGACGTTTACCACTTCGGTGAAACCCACGAGCACGGGTATGGTGCTGACAAACCTAGAAACATAATCGGGGCGAACTGGGATTCGAACCCACAATATATAGGTAGATGATGACAATATTTCAATTATGTATACGTTGTTATTTGTTTTGCAGATTGACACCCAATGGCTCTCAAAAACTACGTTCTTTTGTTACTTCTCATGATCATATCCCATGGAGGAAACGCCAACAAACCCTGTTTACCATGCACATGTTCCAAAATAATGCACGAAGAATGTTACTATGCGAACTGTTCCTACCTGAATTTGACGGCGATTCCACCGACACTGCACCGCGACATTTGTCATCTGAATCTCCATGGAAACGTAATCACTACCCTTAATAACTCGGATTTAAACAATTATACAATGTTGACTTCCCTAGATCTCTCCTTTAATGTTTTGTCTGAAGTCCACAACGACACATTTAACAGTGTTGGGGATTTGGCCTTTCTTGACCTGTCCACAAACAGACTCAACTTTACGTTCACATCAACACAGATATTCTCTCCCTTGACGAAACTGAAAGTTTTGAACATCAGCAACAATACTTATCTCGACATCCCTGATATGATCCTGTGTCATCTGATGTCTCTTGAGAGTCTCACCATGGATGGTTTACAAAGTCCTATTGGTAATGGATGTGGTGTGATGTACAATCTTACATACCTATCCCTATCTGGTGCAAATGGGCGTTGTAAAATTGATTACTTGTCCGAGGACTTACTGCAAAACGTCCCGATGCTAGAGTATCTGAATGTTTCTTATTGTAAAATTTTTACGGTAAAACCTGGAGCTCTTTCCTTCTTGCGGAATATCGACACTCTTGATATATCAGGTAACACCTACTTAAATTTCAAAGGAGTCGCGAATGCTACGGCTGGACTGGATAAATCAAGACTGAGAAAACTTTTTATTAACCAGATGGTGGGAAAACTTACTATTTGTGTTTGGGTGCCACAATCGATTGGTTTAAATCTTCAAAATACTTCCCTGGAAACAATAGAGGCTAACGACAACCGTATCGAATTAATTCACAAAAATGTGTTCAGGCTGTTGCCAAATACACTAAAGACTGTCAGTATCAGGAACAACCGTCTCACCTACGGTGTATACATCTGGCACTACAGAACCTGACAGGACTAGTGTCACTGGACTTGAGTTCAACGAGGGGACTTCTTAAGTTACCATTTGCAGAACCGGATAACTATTCCAGAGACCTATCTTCTCACCATCAAACTGACAATTGTTTAACAACACCAAGAAGAGAGATATATTTGGGAGATGTTCTTCATGAAAGGTCACTGCAACATCAACAGAACATCACACCCTTTGGTGTTCCACCTAAACTGAAAACCCTGAAGTATACAGATTGTAAATTAGCATATGATTTGTCGAAATTATATTTTGCTGAAAATAGCCTGAGGCATGTTGATCTGTCTTATAACATTTTTGCTCAGTGGTTTGGTCCTGTATATGGTTTAGAAAATGTTACCCATCTTGACCTCTCAGGAAATCTTGCAATGCATATCAAAAAAGATTTTTTTGCAAACTTTCCGTCACTTACACACCTAAATATATCCCACAATGCACTCGAAATGTCTGATAATTGGCAGTATTTACGGAATCAAAGCAAAGTAGAAGTTTTAGATTTGTCCCACAACAATGTATTGTTCTTGAATCGCGATTTCCTCTCAGGACTGATATCATTGAGGACATTGAATCTTTCTGGTAACCATTTGGACAGCCTGTTTGTAGGTCTTGAAAATAACTTAAATCTTACAAGTATAAATTGTTCACACAACAACATCAAATATATCTCACGACGAACGAGATCCCAGATGGACAGGATAGCCGAGTTACACAAGTTTACAATAGACCTTTCGGGAAATGACCTCCGATGCACATGTCAAAATATAGAATTTCTTGAATGGTTACTAAACTCCAAAATTCAGGCAGCAAACAAAGAACTGTATCATTGCGTAGACATTAATGGGAAAGTGATACACTTTAAAGGTCATGACGTACTAAAGAATCTGAAAGCGTCTTGCGCTAACTTCATAGCCCTGTCTATGGGACTAATTGTAACAATCGTCCTGATCTTTTCTCTGATAGTGGGAACTATTTGTTATCGATATCGATGGAAAATAATTTACATTTATTATGTGTTCAAACTGAGACTAAGAAACAACATTGAGTATGAACGTATTTACGATTATGACGTTTACGTCTCTTACACTGACCTTGACCTTGAGTTTGTCCGCAAGGACATGATTCCAAAGCTAGAACACCAGCGGGGTACGAGACTTTACATCCGGGATCGAGATTCCCTCCCAGGAGCTACTATTGCTGAGAACATCATCGACGGGATAAGGAGCAGCAAGAAAACTGTGTTGTTGTTGTCCCAGGCGTTCCTGAAGAAGAAGTGGTGCAGGTATGAGTTACATATGGCCAACATGGAGAGCGTGTCTACTGGCCGATCTGTGATGGTCATCATTATGCTTGAGGATATTCCTAATAAGGACATTCCACCCGAGATCCTCTATGATGTGCAGAACAGCCGTTTCATAGACTGCCCAAACGATAGCAGCGATCAGGAACTGTTCTGGGCAAATGTGTCCGCGGCGATTGATAGTTAGATTGTTTTGTAGGTTATCTTTTATATATACCTAGAGATTATGATACGAGCATGTGTGTCACACTGATGTTACGAATCGGATGTCAGAATGTGTGTATTTCACGAGCGAGAGGGAGGGTGAGACATGAATTCTAACACGAGTTTCGTAAAATCAATGTGAGACACATGCGAGTGTAAAAATGTCTTTATTACTCAATATTTTCAGCTCTGCTCTGATCACGACCGTCGTGTTAGTAAAGCATATTTGTCGACTGAGTCGACAATCTTCAGCTATGACGTCAGTCAGACCTTTCGTCACAATGACGTCAACAATGCCGTCCGGATGACGGAAACAATACACTGGCTGGAGTGAAGTGATTTTTTTAATGAATTTAAAAAAAATATTCTTACACTATGGGTAATAAACAATGTTACGGGACAAACGCGAATTTGCACATAAACTCTCATTAGTTTGTAATAATACTTCCGGAGGAATATCTTAATTTTAGTCAGTCTTAAAATACATCTACAGTCTAACGGTATTGTTCTACTTTAATGCCTGTTCCAGGTATGCATGAACATACATATGATTTATTTTGTTCCACCATTCAGTCACAGAAATCTGGTTCGAACTTGAAAGACAAAAATTGAAAATGATATCTCTCGTAAGGGTGGAGGGTGTCTCGTTAGCTTATGAGGAAACTCGGAGACATTCAGACTACGGTGACCACTCAGTCAACCAGCAGAAACATTGGCCCAGTAAATAGGTGGGAATTCCAACACAAACTGTACTGTTAAATGTTAATATCACATTCGTGATTGATCTTATTTTCAATATTATTTATCATAATTTATGATTAAGATGATCTTTGCATGTTGCACTAATGCTCAATAAGCCATACTTTCGTAAGTAGCGGTAATTCTCAACAAAGCTCGATGAAACAAGACATCAAATATACAATCATTATTACATGCCAGGGGAAAGCGTCGGGGGCGGTCGGGTAGCCTAGTGGTTAAAGCGTTCGCTCGTCAAACCGAAGACCCGGGCTCGATTCCCGGCATTGGTACAATGTGTGGAGCCTATTTCTGGTGTGCCCCGTGATATTGCTGGAATATTGCTAAAACGGCGTAAAACCATACTCACTCACTCACTCACGTGAAGCGTCGGACTCTGTCAATCGGATTATGTCTCTTCCCACTTGAAATCCAATGGTACTTGACACACACCCATGTCGAATCGGGGTATGGAATTTTCCTTCTTCCTCCTTGACAATAGTTGCGACGCGCAGTCTAAGAGCTAAAGCAATGTTAAGCTTAAAATGCAGTATGCGTAACAAGCATGCTGTTGTAATAATATTATAGATAACGCTTCTCAGTTGCTCCGGGCACTACGGAAAGTGCCGAGTAGGTTATATACGAAAAGTGCCGAGTAGGTTTTGTACGGGAAGTACCGAGCGGCTTTATGTCACTGACAAACTCGGGTTATTATCAGCCTGCTATTAGCCAAGTCTCAGTTGCAGCAGTGTAGCGGGTTGCCGTTTGATTTAGCGACCTTAAGACCACAATGTCTTATTGAAGGTCAATCTGGAACAAACGAAACAAATGCTAACACACTCGTGGAACACTCGTTTGGGCAAGACCAGCCGGAGTGCCTAAATTAAATACACACATATACAGAATGAGATTACATGAACGTAAATGTAACAAGAGGCTTGCTCTACGTATTTCACAGGTACACACAGTAATAATAAGTAATAGTGATTCACCAGCAGTACAATTTAGTGCCTTGTAAGAAGAGTTTGTTATGTGTTTGTCAACCATATAGCGCCTTACTGGGAGCTTGAGTTGTGGACTCCCTAGGGAGTTGAGAAAGACTATGAAGACCAAATGATCCGTTAACTAGAGTAAAACTACGCCCAGCGCTTTGTGCGTGCCCCTTCTTGGTGTGGAGCCTTGCCCTACACAATCTGTGTGTCCCACTGATTTGCCACACTTTAAGCGACCAGATTGTTACCCTTCCGCATTCGACATGTGTTAAGTGTGAGCGAAGAGTTAATGATGCGTCATGCCCCAGTTAGTGACTTTTCCGTCTTCCCGAGGAAAGGGTTTTACCTCCTCGTCGACATCTTATGTATCGATTCATATCGAGTATCGATGTAGTTCCGAATCTCCTCTCTTATCGAGGTGGACACGGATGGCTGTCGTCAAAGGCGCCACAATTCGCCTTGTAGAATTGCCTTCCTTGGGCATGCCAGAAACCTATGTTTATGGGTTCGAATCCCGGTTTGCCTCGACTGTGTTTCTAGGTTTGTCTGCACCATACCCGTGGTTTCACCAAGGTTGTAAACATCAGAGACCCGCATCACTTCGTGAAATACGCCGTCATATAATTGGGATGCTGTTTAAAGCGGCGTTAAACCTAACTGACTTTCTCACTCTCTTGTCGAATCTTTCTGTAAAAATGTGTGCTTTTATCTGCGTTGTACTGGAGACAACATAGATAACCTACTTCATTGAAACCCGTTAATCTGTCACTGTTTGCATTGAATTCGTCCGGATTAAAATTAAGCGGAGTTTAACGCATATATATAGAGTTTATTTCCTCCAAGTTTCAGGCCATAGGCCCATAGAACATACATGATCTCAATAAAGTGTATGCATAAATACATGAAAAGAATATAATACATAAATAATTAATCAGTGAATTGTGAGTGACTCGCGTAATCTAAAAGCGTGGTAGATATATTTAGCAAGTTGTGTAATAGTGTATTTACATTTAGAAGACGTAAGATTTACAATTTTTTCATAGGATGGATTAGTGTGAAAATATGTATCAATAAAATGTAAACGTAATGTTGAATATGAAGTACAAATAAGAAGGAAATGATATTCATTTTCAATGTAGTTGAAGTCGAGTTTAACGCATAAGTGTTACAGAATAGAATATACCCTTCGTATACACGTGGGTGTGTCTATCAGAATGTCCGGAAAGCAGGGTGTCCGGCCTGAGGAGGTTTAACTGTATTGCACTCCTTCCAATTACTTGGAGCAGAAATAAGAACATTGTTGTTGTTTTTCATTTAAATAAAGTGCTGAAGCAAGTATGTGTTTTTGTTAAGTGTAATCTAGTTTTACAGAACTTCACATTAAAATGACACCAACCCATTAATTTCGATGATCGACCGGTTGCGATGATCAAATCATCAATCATGATTTTGCAAGCAGTCCCCAACACTAATGTCCTGACTAACTTTAGTCGATTCAGTGTCGTTTGACTCGAATACTTCAACGCTTACCAGAATAGATCTTCAGCAACCCCTGCTTGCCGTAAAAGGCGACCATGCTTGTCGTAAGAGGCGACTAACGGGATCGGGTGGTCAGGCTCGCTGACTTGGTTGATGCATGTCATCGATCCTAATAGCGTGGATCGATGCTCATGATGCCAATTACTGGATTGTCTGTTCCAGACTCGATTATTTACCAACCGCCGTCATATAGCTGGAATATTGCTGAGTGCGGCGTTAAACAAAAAAATCTCTCACTCACTCCACTGCTGGGCCCGTGAACATCCGGTTAGAACAGGTCTTTATCTCTATGATAAGGGTGTAGGCGAAATGAGGTGTAGGCGAAATGAGGACAGACCCTTTATCTACCCATGCCTGTCGTAAGAGGCGACTAACGGCGTCCGGTGGTCAGGCTCGCTGGCTTGGTTGATGAATGGTCTCCCATTCGGTAGATCGATGCTCAAGATGTCCGGTCCAGACACAATTATATACACACCGCCGCCATTGAAGCTCAAATATGTCTGCGTTGGGCGTTAAACAAGAAACAAATTATAATTGCTGGCGTGATGTAGTGACAGTAGTTCCTTAATACAGCTCAATACCGCACATAGCAACACGGTTAGCGTGTGTGTTAAGGTTTGAGAGATAATTTACTTGCCTGTGATATCAACAGAACTGACTTGCACCAGGAAGTGGATATCCAGTGTTGTATCTAACTATAGGAAACTATAGGAAATGCTTAAAGACAAGTCACGTGGATCCTTGCAGTCTTCCTTGTTTTGATGAGTGACAAAGTTCATACTTCTGCGCCGTCAACATCCAGACATCGCATGATCATCGACTACATATGACGCTGCGACTCCAGGGGAAGGAAGCGAGGTGAGTGGTTGTGATCTATCACTTTATTTGACATCTTTTGTATAAGTAATTACGCGTATTTGAAGGCAAGTGTTTTAGAAAGCAACCAGGTTGTATTTGGCGTTAGATCACGACGCATACTATTTGCTAAAGCGTCGCAGATTAGGATCGGGGATCTATTACGAAAACACTATGAAACAGTCCGTAGCGCTGAGAGGGGAGCGAGACAGAGATACGATGTATGTGTTTTTCTCTGTTTTTTTTGTGTTTGTTTGTTTGTTGTTTAACGCAGCACTCAGCAATATTTCAGCTATATGACGGCCGTAATTTCTAATTTTAGTTTCCTTTTTGAATGTTAAGTAGTTAAAATTTACATCCTGAAACAGTTTTTATAAAAAAACAGTACAGTGAACCGTGTCATGAAGAGGGTCGCATGTAGTTTGCTTAGTGCCTCTATCCATTTCCCCTGAATGCTTTATAAGTCTACAGGGGGCGGTCGGGTAGCCTTGTGGTTAAAGCGTTCGCTCGTCACGCCGAAGACCTGGGTTCGATTCCCGCCGTGATATTGCTGGAATATTGCTAAAAGCGGCGTAACACCATACTCACTCACTCACTCAGATACATAGTTCTCAATGTTTCTATGGTTCGCGTTTCTTTTGGTTGTGTGTATGTATGGTGAAGGCCAGTTCTGTCTGTCCAAATAGGATACATTGTTTGGCTGTGAACCGAATGATGTGTAATCAGATAACGAGTTTGACAGATGGAATCACGCGGCAAACTTGAGGAACTTCATTCCTTAATCCTTGGAGCTTTTCTTACTAAGTGTGGTGACCATAGATATAGTTACATCTTCCTTGTCCAGCTTGTGACCAATGTGTGACAGTAAAACAAATGTAATCTGAAGTTTAATGAGAAAACAGTTTGTGAAATGCTGGACTTCCTGGTAGATAACCCTTGTTTTGAATCACCTTGAGAAAAAAGGTTGGGAAATGCTGGACTTCCTGGTAGATAACCGTTGTTTTGAATCGCCTTGATTATGACTCTTGATGTGACAACAACTTGGTGGGGCCAGCATCAAACTAAAACCTAACTTACACGCTAGGAATCTCTCACTCACTCACTAACAATATAAGCTGGACTGTATTTCAACGAGCAGATAAAGTGATTGTCAGATAAAACCTCATTTTATCGCTTTCTTCTTCCTAATATCAAACTCACAAGTACTATTGCACACTCTGATACTACTTTTGTTGGATCTGGTCTTTCGTTACCTGTTCCAGAAAGTTCTGGCTTTTTCAAAACTAACAAAGTATTCCATAAATTCTGCAATTGCTCCGGGATATATAGTATAGGTAGAGTGAGTGAGCGAGTTGGGTTTAACGCCGCTTTTAACAGTATTCCAGTTATATCACTACGTGTCAGCTTAATGTGGGAGGAAAGCCCGAAGTGATACAGGTCTCAGACGTTTACCACTTCGGTGAAACCCACGAGCACGGGTATGGTGCTGACAAACCTAGAAACATACTCGGGGCGAACTGGGATTCGAACCTACAATATATAGGTAGATGATGACAATATTTCAATTATGTATACGTTGTTATTTGTTTTGCAGATTGACCCCAATGGCTCTCAAAGACTACGTTCCTTTGTTACTTCTCATGACCATATCCAATGGAGGAAACGCCAACAAACCCTGTTTGCCATGCACATGTTCCAAAATAATGCATGAAGAATGTTACTATGCGAACTGTTCCTACCTGAATTTGACGGCGATTCCACCGACACTGCACCGCGACATTTGTTATCTGAATCTCCATGGAAACATAATCACTACCCTTAATAACTCGGATTTAAACTATTATACAATGTTGACTTCCCTTGATCTCTCCTCTAATGTTTTGTCTGAAGTCCAAAATGACACATTTAACAGTGTTGGGGATTTGGCCTTTCTTGACCTGTCCACAAACAGACTCAACTTTACGTTCACATCATCACAGATATTTTCTCCCTTGACGAAACTGAAAGTTTTGAACATCAGCAACAATACTTATCTCGACATCCCTGATATGATCCTGTGTCATCTGATGTCTCTTGAGAGTCTCACCATGGATGGTTTTCAAAGTCCTATTGGTAATGGATGTGATGTGATGTACAATCTTACATACCTATCCCTATCTGGTGAAAATGGGCGTTGTAAAATTGATTACTTGTCCGAGGACTTACTGCAAAACGTCCCGATGCTGGAGTATCTTAATGTTTCTTATTGTAAAATCTTTACGGTAAAACCTGGAGCTCTTTCCTTCTTCCGGAACATTGACACTCTAGATATATCAGGTAACACCTACTTAAAATTCAAAGGAGTCGAGAATGCTACGACTGGACTGGATAAATCAAGACTTAGAAAACTTTATATTAACCAGATGGTGGGAAAACATACTATTTGTGTTTGGGTGCCACAATCGATTGGTTTAAATCTTCAAAATACTTCCCTGGAAACAATAGAGGCTAACGACAACCGTATCGAATTAATTCACGAAGATGTGTTCAGGCTGTTGCCAAATACACTAAAGACTGTCAGTATCAGGAACAACCGTCTCACCTACGGTGCATACATCTGGTATCTACAGAACCTGACAGGACTAGTGTCACTGGACTTGAGTTCAACGAGGGGACTTCATAAGTTACCATTTGCAGAACCGGATAACTATTCCAGAGACCTATCTTCTCACCATCAAACTGACAATTGTTTAACAACACCAAGAAGAGAGATATATTTGGGAGATGTTCTTCATGAACGGTCACTGGAACATCAACAGAACATCACACCCTATGGTGTTCCACCTAAACTGAAAACCCTGAAGTATACAGATTGTAAATTAGCATATGATTTGTCGAAATTATATTTTGCTGAAAATAGCCTGAGGCATGTTGATCTGTCTTATAACATTTTAGCTCTGTGGTTTGGTCCTGTATATGGTTTAGAAAATGTTACCCATCTTGACCTCTCAGGAAATCTTGCCATGTTTATCAAAAAAGATTTTTTTGCAAACTTTCCGTCACTTACACACCTAAATATATCCCACAATGCACTCGAAATGTCTGATAATGGGCAGTATTTACGGAATCAAAGCAAAGTAGAAGTTTTAGATTTGTCCCACAACAATATATTATTCTTGAAACGCGATTTCCTCTCAGAACTGAAATCACTGAGGACATTGAATCTTTCTTATAACTATTTGGACAGCCTGTTTGTAGATCTTGAAAATAACTTAAATCTTACAAGTATAAATTGTTCAAACAACAACATCAAATATATCTCACCACGAACGAGATCCCAGATGGACAGGATAGCCGAGTTACACAAGTTTACAATAGACCTTTCGGGAAATGACCTCCGATGCACATGTCAAAATATAGAATTTCTTGAATGGTTACTAAACTCCAAAATTCAGGCAGCAAACAAAGAACTGTATCATTGCGTAGACATTAATGGGAAAGTGATACACTTTAAAGGTCATGACGTACTAAAGAATCTGAAAGCGTCTTGCGCTAACTTCATAGCCCTAGCTATGGGACTAATTGTAACAATCGTCCTGATCTTTTCTCTGATAGTGGGAACTATTTGTTATCGATATCGATGGAAAATAATTTACATTTATTATGTGTTCAAACTGAGACTAAGAAACAACATTGAGTATGAACGTATTTACGATTATGACGTTTACGTCTCTTACACTGACCTTGACCTTGATTTTGTCCGCAAGGACATGATTCCAAAGCTAGAACACCAGCGGGGTACGAGACTTTACATCCGGGATCGAGATTCCCTCCCAGGAGCTACTATTGCTGAGAACATCATCGACGGGATAAGGAGCAGCAAGAAAACTGTGTTGTTGTTGTCCCAGGCGTTCCTGAAGAAGAAGTGGTGTAGGTATGAGTTACACATGGCCAACATGGAGAGCGTGTCTACTGGCCGATCTGTGATGGTCATCATTATGCTTGAGGATATTCCTAATAAGGACATTCCACCCGAGATCCTCTATGATGTGCAGAACAGCCGTTTCATAGACTGCCCAAACGATAGCAGCGATCAGGAACTGTTCTGGGCAAATGTGTCCGCGGCGATTGATAGTTAGATTGTTTTGTAGGTTATCTTTTATATATACATAGAGATTATGATACGAGCATGTGTGTCACACTGATGTTACGAATCGGATGTCAGAATGTGTGTATTTCACGAGCGAGAGGGAGGGTAAGACATGAATTCTAACACGAATTTCGTACAATCAATGTGAGACACATGCGAGTGTAAAAATGTCTTTATTACTCAATATTTTCAGCTCTGCTCTGATCACGACCGTCGTGTTAGTAAAGCATATTCATATTCTTCAGCTATGACGTCAGTCAGACCTTTCGTCACAATGACGTCAACAATGCCGTCCGGATGACGGAAACAATACACTGGCTGGAGTGAAGTGATTTTTTTATGAATTTAAAAAAAAAATTCTAACACTATGTGTAATAAACAATGTTACGGGACAAACGCGAATTTGCACATAAACTCTCATTAGTTTGTAATAATACTTCCGGAGGAATATCTTAATTTTAGTCAGTCGTAAAATACATCTGCAGTCTAACGGTATTGTTCTACTTTAATGCCTGTTCCAGGTATGCATGAACATACATATGTTTTATTGTGTTCCACCATTCAGTCACAGAAATCTGGTTCGAACTTGAAAGACAAAAATTGAAAATGATATCTCTCGTAAGGGTGGAGGGTGTCTCGTTAGCTTATGAGGAAACTCGGAGACATTCAGACTACGGTGACCACTCAGTCAACCAGCAGAAACATTGGCCCAGTAAATAGGTGGGAATTCCAACACAAACTGTACTGTTAAATGTTAATATCACATTCGTGATTGATCTTATTTTCAATATTATTTATCATAATTTATGATTAAGATGATCTTTGCATGTTGCACTAATGCTCAATAAGCCATACTTTCGTAAGTAACGGTAATTCTCAACAAAGCTCGGTGAAACAAGACATCAAATATACAATCATTATTACATGCCAGGGGAAAGCGTCGGGGGCGGTCGGGTAGCCTAGTGGTTAAAGCGTTCGCTCGTCAAACCGAAGACCCGGGCTCGATTCCCGGCATGGGTACACTGTGTGGAGCCTTTTTCTGGTGTCCCCCGTGATATTGCTGGAATATTGCTAAAACGGCGTAAAACCATACTCACTCACTCACGTGAAGCGTCGGACTCTGTCAATCGGATTATGTCGTTTCTTCCGACTTGAAATCCAATGGTACTTGACACACCCCCATGTCGAATCGGGGTATGCAATTTTCCTTGTTCCTCCTTGACAATAGTTGCGACGCACAGTCTAAGGGCTAAAGCAATGTTAAGCTTAAAATGTAGTATGCGTAACAAGCATGCTGTTGTAATAATATTATAGATAACGCTTCTCAGGCACTACGGAAAGTTCCGAGTAGGTTATGTACGAAAAGTGCCGAGTAGGTTTTGTACGGGAAGTACCGAGCGGCTTTATGTCACTGACAAACTCGGGTTATTATCAGCCTGCTATTAGCCAAGTCTCAGTTGCAGCAGTGTAGCGGGTTGCCGTTTGATTTAGCGACCTAAAGACCACAATGTCTTATTGAAGGTCAATCTGGAACAAACGAAACAAATGCTAACACACCCGTGGAACACTCGTTTGGGCAAGACCAGCCGGAGTGCCTAAATTAAATACACACATATACAGAATGAGATTACATGAACGTAAATGTAACAAGAGGCTTGCTCTACGTATTTCACAGGTACACACAGTAATAATAAGTAATAGTGATTCACCAGCAGTACAATTTAGTGCCTTGTAAGAAGAGTTTGTAATGTGTTTGTCAACCATATAGCGCCTTACTGGGAGCTTGGGTTATGGACTCCCTAGGGAGTTGAGAAAGTCTATGAAGACCAAATGATCCGTTAACTAGAGTAAAACTACGCCCAGCGCTTTGTGCATGCCCCTTCTTGGTGTGGAGCCTTGCCCTACACAATCTGTGTGTCCCACTGATTTGCCACATTTTAAGCGACCAGATTGTTACCCTTCCGCATTCGACATGTGTGAAGTGTGAGCGAAGAGTTAATGATGAGTCATGCCCCAGTTAGTGACTTTTCCGTCTTCCCGAGGAAAGGGTTTTACCTCCTCGTCGACATCTTATGTATCGATTCATATCGAGTATCGATGTAGTTCCGAATCTCCTCTCTTATCGAGGTGGACACGGATGGCTGTCGTCAAAGGCGCCACAATTCGCCCTGTAGAATTGCGTTCCTTGGGCATGCCAGAAACCTATGTTTGTGGGTTCGAATCCCGGTTTGCCTCGACTGTGTTTCTAGGTTTGTCTGCACCATACCCGTGGTTTCACCAAGGTTGTAAACATCAGAGACCCGCATCACTTCGTGAAATACGCCGTCATATAATTGGGATGCTGTTTAAAGCGGCGTTAAACCTAACTGACTTTCTCACTCTCTTGTCGAATCTTACTGTAAGAATGTGTGCTTTTATCTGCGTTGTACTGGAGACAACATAGATAACCTACTTCATTGAAACCCGTTAATCTGTCACTGTTTGCATTGAATTCGTCCGGATTAAAATTAAGCGGAGTTTAACGGATATATATAGAGTTTATTTCCTCCAAGTTTCAGGCCATAGGCCCATAGAACATACATGATCTCAATAAAGTGTATGCATAAATACATGAAAAGAATATAATACATAAATAATTAATCAGTGAATTGTGAGTGACTCGCGTAATCTAAAAGCGTGGTAGATATATTTAGCAAGTTGTGTAAAAGTGTATTTACATTTAGAAGACATAAGATTTACAATTTTTTCATAGGATGGATTAGTGTGAAAATATGTATCAATAAAATGTAAACGTAATGTTGAATATAAAGTACAAATAAGAAGGAAATGATATTCATTTTCAATGTAGTTGAAGTCGAGTTTAACGCATAAGTGTTACAGAATAGAATATACCCTTCGTATACACGTTGGTGTGTCTATCAGAATATCCGGAAAGCAGGGTGTCCGGCCTAAGGAGGTTTAACTGTATTGCTCTCCTTCCAACTACTTGGAGCAGAAATAAGAACATTCTTGTTGCATTTCATTTGAATAAAGTGCTGAAGCAAGTATGTGTTTTTGTTAAAGGGGAAGTGTACACGCAAAAATCACTTTCTTTCTTTTTCTTAACAAAACGCAATTTTAGAATTAATTAGTATCTGTGCTTGAAAATATACACTCATTTTTTTCACAGTGAAAGTAGGAAGCTCACAATAGTGTGAAAATGATATGCCGTTATGAGGCCTTCGTTTTTCGAGCTAAACAGGCCTGAGTTATCCCCCTTAGATTATGACGTAATTGGTGCCAATTCAACTGGGTCCCTGTCTATTCTCAACGCAAAAGATATCAAGTACCAGTTTGCGGTAAAACAACATGGCCTACGACACACTCCGGCGCAGTGGTGACTCAGCATTACACTATGCTGGCTGGCATCTGAGACGCTAGAATTACACACCTGGACCTACACCACGTGAAGCGGCTCTAACAAAGCATGATGACGTCATAATGTTTATCAATTGGCACCAATGACGTCATATTGCAAGGGGCATAAGCCATGGTGTTTTTGTTGTGGAAATAGAACACTTGGTAAATGTGAAAAATATAAATCGTTTTAATGCGAAAAATATGTTAATTCATTGTGATATTTTTATATTTGTGTCTATGACACTTCTAGGTTAACACTTTTAATGTGGAAAAAGTACAAGAAAAATAGGTTCATTTTCGTGTGAACTTGCCCTTTAAGTGTAATCTAGTTTTACTGAACTTTACATTAAAATGACACCAACCCATTAATTTCGATGATCGACCGGTTGCGATGATCTCATCATCAATAATGATTTTGCAAGCAGTCCCCAACACTAATGTCCTGACTAACTTTAGTCGATTCAGTGTCGTTTGACTCGAATACTTCAACGCTTACCCGTGAAGATCCGGAGTAGAATAGATCTTCAGCAACCCCTGCTTGCCGTAAAAGGCGACTATGCTTATCGTAAAAGGCGACTATGCTTGTCGGAAGAGGCGACTAACAGGATCGGGTGGTCAGGCTCGCTGACTTGGTTGATGCATGTCATCGATCCTAATAGCGTGGATCGATTCTCATGATGCCAATCACTGGTTTGTCTGGTCCAGACTCGATTATTTACCAACCGCCGTCATATAGCTGGAATATTGCTGAGTGCGGCGTTAAACAAAAAAATCGCTCACTCTCTTCAATGCTGGGCTCGTGAACATCCGGTTAGAACAGGTTTTGTCGTAAGAGGCGACTAACGGCGTCCGGTGGTCAGGCTCGCTGGCTTGGTTGATGAATGTCATTGTCTCTCATTCGGTAGATCGATGCTCAAGATGTCAGTCACTGTATTGTCGGGTCCAGACTCAATTATATACACACCGCCGCAATTTAAGCTCGAATATGTCTGCGTTGGGCGTTAAACAACAAACAAATTATAATTGCTGGCGTGATGTAGTTACAATATTTCCTTAATACAGCTCAATACCGCACATAGCAACACGGTTAGCGTGTGTGTTAGGTTTGAGAGATAATTTACTTGCCGGTGATATCAACAGAACTGACTTGCAGCAGGAAGTGGATATCCAGTATTGTATCTAACTATAAGAAACTATAGGAAATGCTTACAGACAAGTCACGTGGATCCTTGCAGTCTTCCTTGTTTTGATGAGTGACAAAGTTCATGATTGACTGCCCCGTCAACATCCAGACATCGCATGATACCCGGAGGACGCTGCGTCTACAGGGAAGGAAGCGAGGTGAGTGGTTGTGATCTATCACTTTATTTGACATCTTTTGTATAAGTAAATACGCTTATTTGAAGGCAAGTGTTTTAGAAAGTGACCAGGTTGTATTTGTCGTTAGATCACGACGCATACTATTTGCTAAAGCGTCGCAGATTAGGATCGGGGATCTGCTACGGTCATGTTTTACGGCAAGCATGGGTTGCTGAAGACCTATTCTACTCTGGATCTTCACGGGAAGAAATAAGTATGCAATAAGTATGAATACACGTGATAAGAATGGTTATACTTACACGAACATTGCTGGACCCCCAGTAAAATTGACTGAGAGGAAATTTTGAAAATTTTAAAAATGTTGGATCCGCCCTTGATGTATGTGTGTGTGCTTGCGTGCCTGCTTGCGTGCATGCGTACGTGTTTGCGTGCGTGCTTGCGTGCGTGCGTGTGTGTATGTGTGTGTGTGTGTGTGTGTCGGGGTCTGATTCATCTTTATATATTTACTAAAGTATAGCTAGAGGTGGAAGTATTTTCATTTTCACAACACCAATCGCAAAATTCGTATAGACCATTGTATTTGTGACTGTCGTCGCTTTATTGCCATTGGGCAAAGGATAAATGCTGTGACTGTGACTCATTGTTACACAAATAGTTCAGATTTCTCAACAGGGAAAGTTTGCAAAACTAATAAAAACAGATTTATTACCCACATGGTGAGGATACAGGTGGTGAGTCACAAATCAAATCTAAGCCATACGTGTGGTGTTCAAGGTTCACCTCGTTCTTTTCATTTTGAAAGATTAACCGTGACCTCTGTCAAACCGGAATTACATTTTTCGTGCATAAACAATTTGCATTACAAACACTTTATGAAACCAAACAAGATAGTCACACACATTAAATTCACTTTGCATTCTATATTAGTTACGCTTAGAGCTCATGCAGATATTGTATAATTTCCTGGTTGTAGATGTATCGTGGTCCCAGGGTGCGTAAAGCTCGACTTTCACATTCGTCACCACTCGCCCCTTTCCGTAACCTTCAAGAAGACTCGCCCCCCTATCGATGAATGTTTTGTGCGTAAATACGACAAACCAATCAGAATGCGCGTATGATTCACGTTCTACATCAAAGAATCCCTCAGAAATAATTTTTGATTTTACATATGTCTTGCATCTAAGAATATACCCATGACACAGCTAAATCCTGTATAATTCCGCATGTCCAGATGTGCTATAAATTGCATCTGAAATATATATAATATATGAGGAAATATATGTGAAGCATTACGCAACGAGTTGACAACTGTTTTAGGTATGCCCGTTTGCAACCGACACGGAAAACCAGTGGTTTTGAAAGCTTCAATGTCTGAACTTACACGTGGGGGAATCTTTGGAGTTGATTACCCCAAAACTTGATCTGACCTGCAACAGACCCCAGGGATAAACAACACCATTCGGCACCACTCGCCCCTTTCCGTAACCTGCAAGAAGTCTCGCCCCCCTACTTTCGTCACCACTCGCCCCTTTCCGTAACCTGCAAGAAGACTCGTCCCCCTATCGATGAATTTTATGTGCGAAAATACGACAAACCAATCAGAATGCGCGTATGATTTCAAGTTCTTCGTCAAAGAATCCCGCAGAATTAATTTTTGATTTTACATATGTCTTGCATCTAAAAATATACCAAAGACACAGTTAAATGTGTTCAATCATCCTGTATAATTCCGCATGTCCAGATGTGCTTTAAATTGCATCTGAAATATGGGGAAATACATGTAAACAAGTACGCAACGAGTTGATAATTGTTTTAGGTATGCCCGTTTGCGCTAAGACGGAACCCGGTCGCAAACATGGCCATGAGATTGGCACGAGTCGCTATTCGGCTTGTCCCGGAATAACACGAGTTGGTCACGAATGACCGAGTGGTGACGAATGTGAAAGTGGCCGAAGTGGTTGGGTGCACGTGCTTTACGCTCCCTATGACCACGATCCATCTGCACACAGGAAATTATACAATATCTGCATGAGCTCTAAGCATAACTAATATAGAATGCAAAGTGAATTACCCCTAGAACCCCTAGCTACCCATAGAACACTGAAGTGACCATCATTTATCAGAAAACATCGCCTGGCCTTTGGTGCTTATATTTGGTATTACAAATATCGGGGGCACGGGTGGCCCAGTCGTCAAGGGCGCCGCGATTCGCTGTGCAGAGTTGCGTCCCTTGGGCACGCCAGAAACCTATGATTGTGGGTTCGAATCTCGATTCGCCCCGATTATGTTTCTAGGTTTGTCAGCACCATACCCGTGCTCGTGGGTTTCACCGAAGTGGTAAACGTCTGAGACCTGCATCACTTCGGGCTTTCCTCCCACATTAAGCTGACACGCCGTGATATGACTGGAATACTGTTGGGAGCGGCGTTAAACCTAACACTCACTCACTCACTACAAATATCACAGGATACCCCAAGTCAGACTTCAGTTCAAATTAGAGATATGTTGACAACCTGAACACAATGGTAATAATACCGCATTATCGACAACGCGCAGCGTCATAGAAGTAGTTCTTACTTGTTCCAAGCACGAAACTGTTTCCGCATGGCCACAGAATATTTACGACAGTGTTATGTCAAATTGTTGCTAGCGAAGGAAGCTAACATTTAGATCACTAATCGATTGTTAAAACTTTCTTTCTTAAACTACGTTACTTTGCAATATATGAAGTACTTTATAAGCTGATTTAAACTAGGTATTGAAACAATGAGGCTGCCTTTTAAACCAAACGGAATCTTAAAACATGTGTAAGCTAAAAAGAGAATTTGCATTGAAAGCGACTTTGCTATTAAACTGTAGACTTATAAAGCATTCAGGGGAAATGGACAGACACACTTAGCAAACTACATGCGACCCTCTTTGTGACACGGTTGACTGTACTGTTTTTTTTTATAAAAACTGTTTCAGGATATAAATTTTAACTACTTAAAATTCAAAAAGGGAACTAAAATTAGAAAACTCCGTAACAAGTTGACACTTATTCAGACGCTTTGAAAATTAAATCAAGAAGCAGCCGTTGACAATAAAACGCGGAACTTTCAATATAAGCTGATTCACAGAATAATTTCTACAAATTCAATTCTACACAAAATAAGCAAACGTGATGACAGTTCATGTACTTCCTGCGAAATTGAACCTGACTTGTTAGATCGCATTTTTGTCATTTGCAACAAAGTACAGGAATTAGAACTGAAATTTGTGAAATGGTACAAATCCTACACAAAAATACTTATATAGTTAGACAGCAGATCGTTCACACTTTGTAGCCCTAAACATAGTGTGCTATTCAATAACCTATATGCAATCACATAACAATACCTATACACAAGTAAATGTGGAGAAACTGCTAAACTTCATGAGACATATGTAAAGTGGAAACGTATATATACTCTACGTCAAAAGAAACGCGAATGCCATACATTTATGTTAATATACGGAGATTCATATTCAAGAGATATTAGATTGGTTCGACGCACAAACGAAGATACTGTTATGTTGCGTGAACCGACGCTCATGAACGAATCACATGTGACGTTATAGATCCATGACTCGAGATTTAGCATTTGTCTCGTGCAGGATTAGCATGTAAAGTTTGGAAATCACGTGCGTCATATCGTGATACAAATAAGGACACTGTGGTAACACTTGACTGCTTGTAAGTCTCGTCAGTGAGTGGTACACTTCTTCAGGGGCGGTCGGGTAGCCTCGTGGTTAAAGCGTTCGCTCGTCACGCCGAAGACCCGGGTTCGATTCCCGACATGGCTACAATGTGTGGAGCCCATTTCTGGTGTCCCCCGCCGTGATATTGCTGGAATATTGCTAAAAGCGGCGTAAAACCATACTCACTCACTCACTCAGGTACATACTTGATTATGACTCTTGATGTGACAACAACTTGGTGGGGCCAGCATCAAACTAAAACCTAACTTACACGCTAGGAACCACTCACTCACTCACTAACAATATAAGCTGGACTGTATTTCAACGAGCAGATAAAGTGATTTTCAGATAAAACCTCATTTTATCACTTTCTTCTTCCTAATATCAAACTTACAAGTACTATTGCACACTCTGATGTTGGATCTGGTCTTTCGTTACCTGTTCCAAATAGTTCTGGCTTTTTCAAAACTAACAAAGTATTCCATAAATTCTGCAATTGCTACGGGATATATAGTAAAGGTAGAGTGAGCGAGAGAGGGAGTTGGGTTTAACGCCGCTTTTAACGGTATTCCAGTTATATCACGGCGTGTCAGCTAAATGTGGGAGGAAAGCCCGAAGTGATGCAGGTCTCAGACGTTTACCACTTCGGTGAAACCCACGAGCACGGGTATGGTGATGACAAACCTAGAAACTTAATCGGGGCGAACTGGGATTCGAACCCACAATATATAGGTAGATGATGACAATATTTCAATTATGTATACGTTGTTATTTGTTTTGCAGATTGACCCCCAATGGCTCTCAAAGACTACGTTCCTTTGTTACTTCTCATGACCATATCCAATGGAGGAAACGCCAACAAACCCTGTTTGCCATGTACTTGTTCCAAAATAATGCATGAAGACTGTTACTATGCGAACTGTTCCTACCTGAATTTGACGGCGATTCCACCGACACTGCACCGCGACATTTGTCGCCTGAATCTCCATGGAAACATAATAACTACCCTTAATAACTCGGATTTAAACAATTATACAATGTTGACTTCCCTTGATCTCTCCTTTAATGTTTTGTCTGAAGTCCACAACGACACATTTAACAGTGTTGGGGATTTGGCCTTTCTTGACCTGTCCTCAAATAGACTCAACTTTACGTTCACATCAACACAGATATTCTCTCCCTTGACGAAACTGAAAGTTTTGAACATCAGCAACAATACTTATCTCGACATCCCTGATATGATCCTGTGTCATCTGATGTCTCTTGAGAGTCTCACCATGGATGGTTTTCAAAGTCCTATTGGTAATGGATGTGGTGTGATGTACAATCTTACATACCTATCCCTATCTGGTGAAAATGGGAGTTGTAAAATTGGTAATTTGTCCGAGGACTTACTGCAAAACGTCCCGATGCTGGAGTATCTGAATGTTTCTTATTGTAAAATCTTAACGGTAAAACCTGAAGCTCTTTCCTTCTTGCGGAACATTGACACTCTAGATATATCAGGTAACACCTACTTAAATTTCAAAGGAGTCGCGAATGCTACGGCTGGACTGGATAAATCAAGACTGAGAAAACTTTTTATTAACCAGATGGTGGGTAAACTTACTATTTGTGTTTGGGTGCCACAATCGATTGGTTTAAATCTTCAAAATACTTCCCTGGAAACATTAAAGGCTAACGACAACCGTATCGAATTAATTCACAAAAATGTGTTCAGGCTGTTGCCAAATACACTTAAGACTGTCAGTATCAGGAACAACCGTCTCACCTACGGTGCATACATCTGGTATCTACAGAACCTGACAGGACTAGTGTCACTGGACTTGAGTTCAACGAGGGGACTTCTTAAGTTACCATTTGCAGAACCGGATAACTATTCCAGAGACCTATCTTCTCACCATCAAACTGACAATTGTTTAACAACACCAAGAAGAGAGATATATTTGGGAGATGTTCTTCATGAAAGGTCACTGCAACATCAACAGAACATCACACCCTTTGGTGTTCCACCTAAACTGAAGACCCTGAAGTATACAGATTGTAAATTAGCATATGATTTGTCGAAATTATATTTTGCTGAAAATAGCCTGAGGCATGTTGATCTGTCTTATAACATTTTAGCTCTGTGGTTTGGTCCTGTATATGGTTTAGAAAATGTTACCCATCTTGACCTCTCAGGAAATCTTGCAATGTATATCAAAAAAGATTTTTTTGCAAGCTTTCCGTCACTTACACACCTAAATATATCCCACAATGCACTCGAAATGTCTGATAATGGGCAGTATTTACGGAATCAAAGCAAAGTAGAAGTTTTAGATTTGTCCCACAACAATATATTGTTCTTGAATCGCGATTTCCTCTCAGGACTGAAATCATTGAGGACATTGAATCTTTCTTGTAACTATTTGGACAGCCTGTTTGTAGATCTTGAAAATAACGTAAATCTTACAAGTATAAATTGTTCAAACAACAACATCAAATATATCTCACCACGAACGAGATCCCAGATGGACAGGATAGCCGAGTTACACGAGTTTACAATAGACCTTTCGGGAAATGACCTCCGATGCACATGTCAAAATATAGAATTTCTTGAATGGTTACTAAACTCCAAAATTCAGGCAGCAAACAAAGAACTGTATCATTGCGTAGACATTAATGGGAAAGTGATACACTTTAAAGGTCATGACGTACTAAAGAATCTGAAAGCGTCTTGCGCTAACTTCATAGCCCTGTCTATGGGACTAATTGTAACAATCGTCCTGATCTTTTCTCTGATAGTGGGAACTATTTGTTATCGATATCGATGGAAAATAATTTACATTTATTATGTGTTCAAACTGAGACTAAGAAACAACATTGAGTATGAACGTATTTACGATTATGACGTTTACGTCTCTTACACTGACCTTGACCTTGATTTTGTCCGCAAGGACATGATTCCAAAGCTAGAACACCAGCGGGGTACGAGACTTTACATCCGGGATCGAGATTCCCTCCCAGGAGCTACTATTGCTGAGAACATCATCGACGGGATAAGGAGCAGCAAGAAAACTGTGTTGTTGTTGTCCCAGGCGTTCCTGAAGAAGAAGTGGTGCAGGTATGAGTTACATATGGCCAACATGGAGAGTGTGTCTACTGGCCGATCTGTGATGGTCATCATTATGCTTGAGGATATTCCTAATAAGGACATTCCACCCGAGATCCTCTATGATGTGCAGAACAGCCGTTTCATAGACTGCCCAAACGATAGCAGCGATCAGGAACTGTTCTGGGCAAATGTGTCCGCGGCGATTGATAGTTAGATTGTTTTGTAGGTTATCTTTTATATATACATAGAGATTATGATACGAGCATGTGTGTCACACTGATGTTACGAATCGGATGTCAGAATGTGTGTATTTCACGAGCGAGAGGGAGGGTGAGACATGAATTCTAACACGAGTTTCGTAAAATCAATGTGAGACACATGCGAGTGTAAAAATGTCTTTATTACTCAATATTTTCAGCTCTGCTCTGATCACGACCGTCGTGTTAGTAAAGCATATTTGTCGACTGTGTCGACAATCTTCAGCTATGACGCCAGTCAGACCTTTCGTCACAATGACGTCAACAATGCCGTCCGGATGACGGAAACAATACACTGGCTGGAGTGAAGTGATTTTTTTTATGAATTTAAAAAAAATATTCTAACACTATGTGTAATAAACAATGTTACGGGACAAACGCGAATTTGCACATAAACTCTCATTAGTTTGTAATAATACTTCCGGAGGAATATCTTAATTTTAGTCAGTCTTAAAATACATCTACAGTCTAACGGTATTGTTCTACTTTAATGCCTGTTCCAGGTATGCATGAACATACATATGTTTTATTGTGTTCCACCATTCAGTCACAGAAATCTGGTTCGAACTTGAAAGACAAAAATTGAAAATGATATCTCTCGTAAGGGTGGAGGGTGTCTCGTTAGCTTATGAGGAAACTCGGAGACATTCAGACTACGGTGACCACTCAGTCAACCAGCAGAAACATTGGCCCAGGAAATAGGTGGGAATTCCAACACAAACTATACTGTTAAATGTTAATATCACATTCGTGATTGATCTTATTTTCAATATTATTTATCATAATTTATTATTAAGATGATCTTTGCATGTTGCACTAATGCCCAATAAGCCATACTTTCGTAAGTAACAATAATTCTCAACAAAGCTCTGTGAAACAAGACATCAAATATACAATCATTATTACATGCCAGGGGAAAGCGTCGGGGGTGGTCGGGTAGCCTAGTGGTTAAAGCGTTCGCTCGTCAAACCGAAGACCCGGGCTCGATTCCCGACATGGGTACACTGTGTGGAGCCTTTTTCTGGTGTCCCCCGTGATATTGCTGGACTATTGCTAAAACGGCGCAAAACCATACTCACTCACTCACTCACGTGAAGCGTCGGACTCTGTCAGTCGGATTATGTCGTTTCTTCCGACTTGAAATCCAATGGTACTTGACACACCCCATGTCGAATCGGGGTATGCAATTTTCCTTCTTCCTCCTTGACAATAGTTGCGACGCGCAGTCTAAGGGCTAAAGCAATGTTAAGCTTAAAATGTAGTTTGCGTAACAAGCATGCTGTTGTAATAATATTATAGATAACGCTTCTCAGTTGCTCCGGGCACTACGGAAAGTGCCGAGTAGGTTATGTACGAAAAGTGCCGAGTAGGTTTTGTACGGGAAGTACCGAGCGGCTTTATGTCACTGACAAACTCGGGTTATTATCAGCCTGCTATTAGCCAAGTCTCAGTTGCAGCAGTGTAGCGGGTTGCCGTTTGATTTAGCGACCTAAAGACCACAATGTCTTATTGAAGGTCAATCTGGAACAAACGAAACAAATGCTAACACACCCGTGGAACACTCATTGAGGCAAGACCAGCCCAGTTCTCGCATTAGGACGTATTACAAACATTCGGTCGACAGTTTGCTGAAAAAACAGATTTGTGATATCAGGCGAACTATTATTCATTATGTGAATATTAAACAGCCATCACATAATTAGTGGTTATAGTTCCATATATTTTCTATTGAACTGACGTTGTGGGAGGAAAGCCCGAAGTGATGCAGGTCTCAGACGTTTGCCACTTCGGTGAAACCCACGAGCACTGGTATGGTGCTGACAAATCCAGAAACATAATCGGGGCAAACCGGGATTCGAACCCACAATCGCATTGCGGCGCCTTAGACGACTGAGTCACCCATGCCTCCCCCCCCCCCCCCCCCCCCCCCTCCCCCCCTTCCCAATCCCGACAAAGAGACTTCAGGAAGCGCCTTAGTTCTTTTGAGCCGGAGTGCCTAAATTAAATACACACATATACAGAATGAGATTACATGAACCTAAATGTGACAAGAGGCTTGCTCTACGTATTTCACAGGTACACAGAGTAAGTTATAGTGATTCACCAGCAGTACAATTTAGTGCCTTGTAAGAAGAGTTTGTAATGTGTTTGCCAACCATATAGCGCCTTACTAGGAGCTTGAGTTGTGGACTCCATAGGGAGTTGAGAAAGACTATGAAGACCAAATGATCCGTTAACTAGAGTAAAACTACGCCCAGCGCTTTGTGCATGCCCCTTCTTGGTGTGGAGCCTTGCCCTACACAATCTGTGTGTCCCACTGATTTGCCACATTTTAAGCGACCAGATTGTTACCCTTCCGCATTCGACATGTGTGAAGTGTGAGCGAAGAGTTAATGATGAGTCATGCCCCAGTTAGTGACTTTTCCGTCTTCCCGAGGAAAGGGTTTTACCTCCTCGTCGACATCTTATGTATCGATTCATATCGAGTATCGATGTAGTTCCGAATCTCCTCTCTTATCGAGGTGGACACGGATGGCTGTCGTCAAAGGCGCCACAATTCGCTCTGTAGAATTGCGTTCCTTGGGCATGCCAGAAACCTATGTTTGTGGGTCCGAATCCCGGTTTGCCTCGACTGTGTTTCTAGGTTTGTCTGCACCATACCCGTGGTTTCACCAAGGTTGTAAACATCAGAGACCCGCATCACTTCGTGAAATACGCCGTCATATAATTGGGATGCTGTTTAAAGCGGCGTTAAACCTAACTGACTTTCTCACTCTCTTGTCGAATCTTTCTGTAAGAATGTGTCCTTTTATCTGCGTTGCACTAGAGACAACATAGATAATCTACTTCTTTGAAACCCGTTAATCTGTCACTGTTTGCATTGAATTCGTCCGGATTAAAATTAAGCGTAGTTTAACGCATATATATAGAGTTTATTTCCTCCAAGTTTCAGGCCATAGGCCCATAGAACATACATGATATCAATAAAGTGTATGCATAAATACATGAAAGGAATATAATACATAAATAATACATCAGTGAATTGTGCGTGACTCGCGTAATCTAAAAGCGTGGTAGATATATTTAGCAAGTTGTGTAATAGTGTATTTACATTTAGAAGACATAAGATTTACAATTTTTTCATAGGATGGATTAGTGTGAAAATATGTATCAATAAAATGTAAACGTAATGTTGAATATGAAGTACAAATAAGAAGGAAATGATATTCATTTTCAATGTAGTTGAAGTCGAGTTTAACGAATAAGTGTTACAGAATAGAATATACCCTTCGTATACACGTAGGTGTGTCTATCAGAATATCCGGAAAGCAGGGTGTCCGGCCTAAGGAGGTTTAACTGTATTGCTCTCCTTCCAACTACTTGGAGCAGAAATAAGAACATTGTTGTTGTTTTTCATTTAAATAAAGCGCTGAAGCAAGTATGTGTTTTTGTTAAGTGTAATCTAGTTTTACTGAACTTCACATTAAAATGACACCAACCCATTAATTTCGATGATCGACCGGTTGCGATGATCAAATCATCAATCATGATTTTGCAAGCAGTCCCCAACACTAATGTCCTGACTAACTTTAGTCGATTCAGTGTCGTTTGACTCGAATACTTCAACGCTTACCCGTGAAGATCCGGAGTAGAATAGATCTTCAGCAACCCCTGCTTGCCGTAAAAGGCGACTATGCTTGTCGGAAGAGGCGACTAACAGGATCGGGTGGTCAGGCTCGCTGACTTGGTTGATGCATGTCATCGATCCTAATAGCGTTGATCGATGCTCATGATGCCAATCACTGGTTTGTCTGGTCCAGACTCGATTATTTACCAACCGCCGTCATATAGCTGGAATATTGCTGAGTGCGGCGTTAAACAAAAAAATCGCTCACTCTCTTCAATGCTGGGCTCGTGAACATCCGGTTAGAACAGGTTTTGTCGTAAGAGGCGACTAACGGCGTCCGGTGGTCAGGCTCGCTGGCTTGGTTGATGAATGTCATCGTCTCTCATTCGGTAGATCGATGCTCAAGATGTCAGTCACTGTATTGTCGGGCCCAGACTCAATTATATACACACCGCCGCCATTGAAGCTCGAATATGTCTGCGTTGGGCGTTAAACAACAAACAAATTATAATTGCTGGCGTGATGTAGTTACAATAGTTCCTTAATACAGCTCAATACCGCACATAGCAACACGGTTAGCGTGTGTGTTAAGGTTTGAGAGATAATTTACTTGCCTGTGATATCAACAGAACTGACTTGCAGCAGGAAGTGGATATGCAGTATTGTATCTAACTATAGGAAACTATAGGAAATGCTTACAGACAAGTCACGTGGGTCCGTGCAGTCTTCCTTGTTTTGAGGAGTGACAAAGTTCATATGCTTGACTGCCCCGTCAACATCCAGACATCGCATGATCATCGACTACATATGACGCTGCGACTACAGGGGAAGGAAGCGAGGTGAGTGGTTGTGATCTATCACTCTATTTGACATCTTTTGTATAAGTAATTACGCGTATTTGAAGGCAAGTGTTTTAGAAAGCGACCAGGTTGTATTTGTCGTTAGATCACGACGCATACTATTTGCTAAAGCGTCGCAGATTAGGATCGGGGATCTATTACGAAAACACTGTGAAACAGTCCGTAGCGCTGAGAGGGGAGCGAGACAGAGATGCGATGTATGTGTTTTTCTCTGGTTTGTTTGTTTGTTTGTTTGTTTGTTTGTTTGTTGTTTAACGCAGCACTCAGCAATATTTCAGCTATATGACGGCCGTAATTTCTAATTCTAGTTTCCTTTTTGAATGTTAAGTAGTTAAAATTTACATCCTGAAACAGTTTTTATATAACACAGTACAGTGAACCGTGTCACGAAGAGGGTCGCATGTAGTTTGCTTAGTGCCTCTATCCATTTCCCCTGAATGCTTTATAAGTCTACAGGGGGCGGTCGGGTAGCCTAGTGGTTAAAGCGTTCGCTCGTCACGCCGAAGACCCGGGTTCGATTCCCGCCGTGATATTGCTGGAATATTGCTAAAAGCGGCGTAAAACCATACTCACTCACTCAGATACATAGTTCTCAATGTTTCTATGGTTCGCGTTTCTTTTGGTTGTGAGTATGTATGGTGAAGGCCAGTTCTGTCTGTCCAAATAGGATACATTGTTTGGCTGTGAACCGAATTATGTGTAATCAGATAACGAGTTTGACAGATGGAATCACGTGGCAAACTTGAGGAACTTCATTCCTTAATCCTTGGAGCTTTTCTTACTAAGTGTGGTGACCATAGATATAGTTACATCTTCCTTGTCAAGCTTCTGACCAATGTGTGACAGATAAAAAACAAATGTAATCTGAAGTTGAATGAGAAAACAGTTTAACACGTCCCATTTTAATTCTGGAAACCCAAAAGTCCAGAAACTCTACGCTCTTTGCCCAGTCTCGGTTAAAGGTATTTACAAAATTAAACATGCCGTTTTCATGGGAACATACCAAGGAAGAAAAAATGAAAAAAGAATTGTTCAAAAACTCAATATTTAGACTATGTCGCCCATGGGCCTGCCCATGGGCGAAGTGTGGCCCATGGGCCTGCCCATGGGCGAAGTCTGGCCGATGGGCGAGAATATGTTCCTGAACTTAAAACTCATGATTTTGTTTCGCAAATACATTAAATGTATTCATTGAAGTATCATGACACAAAATTAAACTCATTTTAACCTAATTCAACGATTTTATAGCGATATTGAAATATTTCGCCCATGGGCGAGAAAAAGGTTATACTTAGTAAAAATTATACTCAGTGTCTCCGCAAAGTAATATAGTACGGTACTTAGAGTACATGTGAAATTATACTCAGATTAGGGAGATGTTTAATCCATATAACGTGTTATTATTCTACCTAACAATGTATTTAATGAAATGAATGCAAAACAAACTCAACGGCTAAAAGGTTTCATTGAAAAAACTACCCCTAGT